CGTATTTTTTTCGGGCATTGCCCGAATTCGACTATTGAGCGTAACAAATACAATATATTAGGACTAAAAAAAGATTTAAAAGGTGAAAATTATTCACCTATATGTCTCGATATAGATCTTGGTGGGCACAGATCCAGAGAATCAATTCATAAAAAAATTTCAGCGCTTGATGTTTATTTAACAAACCGTTTCAGCATGAGTTTTATAACAGTCATTATTTTTTAATGACGTAAATTTTTATTTCGCACGAAAATGTTTTCTATATACCTACAATGTGGCCAAAATTATGACAGCTAAACTCACCGGAATAATATACAGAGGATTATTAATAGTACAGGAGACAGTGAAGATTTTCGGTACTTATTTTTCCAGTCAGGAACACCGATAGAATTATTTGGTATGTGATTCTAAGCAAATTTAATATACAGGGTGACAATTTGAAAACGAATAGTATTTAATATTACCTCTACCGGTGATAGTATGAAAATTTGGCGAAAACGTCAATTTACATATCAAGGGGGACAATTTTTGAGGCATTTGTTGTCGTGTTACTTTCAACCCCTTGACTCTCCGGGCAACTATCCCTAAAATTTTAAATGGCAACCCCTATTTCTTACCATTTTTGTGTTCCTGTATTGTTCCTGTACGTTTTGTAATATGTCTAGCAGGTGGAAAATTGGGTAAAAATTATTTAAACCACTGCCCTTATTTTCCCAGCCCCAAAAATTATAATTACAGCTCCAAATATAGTCTGTCTGGCTTATGTGGAACATCCCGAAAGTCGTCAAATTTAAATTGGTGGAAAAAATATATTCGGTTGCAATTGGCGCTATTAAGAACTCCTTATCCCAAATAACGCCAGTTGTAATTTCGATGAAGAAAAACACACCAGAAGGCTATACAGGGTGGCCCATCGAAAACGTTCCGCAAGGCATAACGGCCAGGGTAATTTTTTTTTTCAGAAAATTCAAAAACACTTCAATTTTGTTTGTGAGGGGGACAACTTTTGCCCCAAAAATTATTGCAAAATCTTCAACCCTCTAAGCGGGCGTGTCATCCCCCGTTTTTTTCAAATGGGAAGAGGGGATCAAGTGGTACCGCAATGAAAAGGGCTTTCTATTCTCTATACTTTCCTGCTTGGTTGGGAAAATATGAAGGATTGAAATTTGACCAAACCAAACCAAACCAAACATTTATCAGAGTAAATGATAAGGATAAATTCCTTCGACCAATTTGCTGTTTTTTCTTATTATTTCTAGATGTTTGCAATCGGGTTGCGCAGATATTCAATGAACGCCATCCTGACAAACACCTTTATGGCAAAATTGTTCGCCAGTTAGTAGCAAAATTTCGCGAAACTGGTTTCGTTATGAATAAAAAGAGGCAGAGGGAAAATCCTGTAGTAAATGAAGCTATGGAGGTATTCGTATTGGGCCAAGTTGCCATGGACAGTATTCTGAGTACAAGAAAATTAGCTAATAAGACCGGCGGGAATCATACAAGTTTCCAAAGGATATTAAAAAAACACAAGTTCCACCCGTACAAAATTCAGTTGGTACAAGAACTCAACGAAGACGGTTTTGATCGTTACTTGCAATTTTGTGAAGCTATGAGTGAACGAGTGGCGAATGATAATAATTTCCTATTAATTGTGTTTTCGGATGAGTGTACTTTCTTTTTGAACGGTGTAGTTAATCGGCGCAACTGTCGGTACTGGGCTGAGGACAACCCCAGGGTTTTTCACGAGGTGCACACACAAAACCCTCAGAAATTGAACGTGTGGGCTGGTATTTTTGGAAATTCTATTGTGGGTCAGTTTAACGATATTGAGAAGAACTTCAACGTACAAGTCACAGAACAGCTATCTAGCAACTACCGCACCTGATCGTTCAACGTTGTGGCAAGTGAAAAAATGCGTAAACATCTAGGAATAATAAGAAAAAACAGCAAATTGGTCGAATTTATCCTTAATTATCATTTACTCTGATAAATGCTTAAATAAACTTTTCAAATTTCAATCCTTCATATTTTCTCAATGAGTCGACCGATTTTCAAAAACGAAGCGGGGAAATATAGAGAATAGAAAGCTCTTTTCATTGCGGCGCCACTTGACTCCCCTTTCCATTTGAAAAAAGTTGGGAATGACGGGATGACACCCCTGCTTAGAGGGTTGAATATTTTGTCCCCCTCACAAACAAAATTGACGTGTTTTTGGATTTTTTGAAAAAATAAATACCCTAGCCGTTATGCCTTGCCGAACGTTTTTGATGGGCCACCCTGTATATAATGACCTATAGTTCCTAACAACGCCAGTGGAAGATTTTTTCACTGACGTTATTAGGTGCATATGATATAAAAATATCTGTTATTAATTGGGGTTAAGTTCCTCCTGTTTTCATTAAAACTAATACAGTAACTAATGTTACGAACTTATCGGAGGTTACCGTAATGTCACTAAACCCAATTTTAAAGGTTATTAAATAGAAACAATCTTACACTAAAAACCGCACTTTTCACGTTATTTTTATCGGCAAAATATTGCAACAAACGGCATCTCTTGAGTGAAAAGAAAGGATTTATACATATATCTAGTTGTTTTCTCCGATATGGATCTACAAAATTGTGATGTACTGCTTTTTTTACAATTTTACTAGAATCTGGATGGCGTAATTGGGAACCCGGCGTTAATTGGGTTACTGACCTTATAAGGTGGCAATACAATCCACTACATACAACAAATAACTTTTACCACTATCCGATTACTTTTTTTATATGCCAATGTTGTTGTGGCACCAGTTTACTAAAGTAGGTGTGTTTATTCTCATCTCGTGAAAGAAAGTTTATTAAAAAAAATCATCGTCTGCCATTCATTTAATTATATGTATACCTACACCTCACGATTCCTCATTATAAAATCAATTAATTTAATCGAAGAGATATACCATGATTTCACTGAATTAAAAATCGAAAAAAATATTCAAGCTCGCATCGCTAGTAAATACATTAAAATTTATAGGTCAAAATTTGGAACATCGTATCCAATAAATCTTAAAATTTGTTAAAATGTGGTAGACATTTTGGCTTTTACTTTCTTATGAATAGATAAATTGGTTAAGAAAGTTATAGAGAATATATCTGAATTCAGAATTAAATTAACTACTAAATTTAGAAAAAAAGTAATTATAGATGGCTATAAAAAATATCAGAAATTCACGTCATTTTCTATAGAGATCTTCAGATAAGATTTCTCCTTATAATAAGTCTATACTAATTAAAAATGAAATTAATAAAAACTACAAAAATCGAGCTTTAGTTCATTTATTTATGAAAATTGCCATACCGGGTGTTTCTCAAAAGTGTCTCAGCCCTATAACTTTTTTATTTGTCTGATAAAAAAACGAAATTTGTATGTAAGTACAGTGCGTCTATCCGTTCTGTAGCTACGCGGCATCCGTAAGGGGGGAAACGATATTCTCTATACCGGGTGCGTCTCAAAAGTGGCTCACCCCTATAACTTTTTTACTTTTACGATATATTTGATATATTCAATTGTTTTCTCTCTCGGTTACTTTATTCGATAGAAAATAACACTCTGAATAGAATGACATATCATATGTCAACTTTTGACATTTTCGCATATATCGTTTATTTGAAATTATAACTTGCGGTTCGTAACGAAAATTTAACTCGAAATACCAAGTGTGTGGTATCAAATTATTCGTAAAAAAATGCTTTTTCTAAATATGTTAATGAGCTATCCTCGTTCCATTTGAAAAAATTGAGATATGATACGATTTTTTCTAGCTGGCCAGAACAAGACACTAAAAACATTAGATGATCAAATCTATTTTTCCAAAGCTCCTTGATTAAGAATTAGTGTTTTTAACATAGCCATGGCACTCTAGATTGAATTTTAAAATACTATTTTTTATCAAGCGAGAATGTCAAAAGTTGACATATGATATGTCATTCTATTTAGAATGTCATTTTCTATTGAGTAAAGTAAAAAAACACCGAGGGTGCAATTTAAAAATCAAAAGTTGTAGTCATTTCCGTTGAAACAGGAAGTGACCAAAAACAACTGAATACGATAATCAATCCTAATTTATGTCATATACTAACATACCAAATCTCGTTTCTCTATCTGAAAAAATAAAAAAATTATAGGGATGAGCAACTTTTGAGACTCACTGGGTATGTTTCCACTACTTTACTAGGTACCGGGTACCCATCTCTAATCTGAGGACCTGTGGGCTGTGAGTAACTTTAGAACAATGTAAATTTTCCCCACGTAATGTAACTCTTTTAGCAAACAAACCAGAACAACATCATATATCTACCATCTAAACAACAAATAACACCACATACGACATTTAATCCACTTACATAGACCCCCCTGTTCAACAACTCCGCCGAAATATACTTTCTACGGTACCCCATACCCTGACGTCTCCTAGGTCTCGGCTCAAAGATCCTCTGGTGAGCCCCCAAACAACTGAAATCCTCAAACTTCTCCACGTGCTCCCGATCCAACTTCAGCGCCACAAACAGGTGCTTTGGAGGGAAGTAAGTCACCCCCTCCCTGTCATCTACTAAGTAAAATCCGACTTTACCACTAAGAACATCCCTTGTGGACTCTTTGGGAATAACTTGATGGACGCCGATACTGTAAAAATACACTCCGAATGAAGAAATACAGGGAAAGAGTGAGGTTTAGTGAGTTTTACCCTCTTACAAGCATGGGAACGCGCTTTTTCTCGCTCGAGTCGTTGGTTCGTTTGTTTTCGGGTGTTTTCGTGGGTGTTCGATCGCTTCCGGAAGTGCTCGGCTCTTGTTCGGGATCGTTCGTTCGCGGTTGGGGAGATTTGCGTTTTTTTGGTGCACCCACGGGTATAAGGCCTTGCATAGTTGTTTTGTATCAACTAAATAATAAAAATTTCATTGGTTCATATTTCTGATCTTATTTTGTGTCTAAATTATTTTTTTTTGTTCCCTTACAGACAGTTCCAGTATAACAGTACACAGATCCTAGTCGATAGTAAGATTAAAACAACATAAACAGGTAAACATTCAGTTAAATCACGTATAAAAGTCTGATATGTTGGAAAAGACCTTAAATTTTCAGAACTAAAGCACACTAAAGGTAAGATCGAGATAATTTTAATGACTTTTTAATTAATTTAATTATTTTTTTTTGAATTGTATGATTTGTATTGTATATTTTTTATTATTTGTTTATTTTTTGTGCTTTTGTTTGTTTTGTAAATGCTTTATCGATGAAGCTATTTGGGCTTTTTGCACAATAAAGCGTTATTTTCTTTTTTTTTCTAAGATCAGGATTAAATATCAGAACCATGAACCAATGTTTAAATTTGAAACTAAGTAAAAACACTTAGAGTGGAGTGCTTTAAGCCCTTATGAGATACAAACCTCGGAATTCATTTACTGTGAACGAATTTTTATAAAACTTTTTGCATTGTATTGTTAATAAGATATATTATAAAGTTTACCAATTTAAATTCGTTGCTTTCACTTTAGTATTTAAATAAACACACATATATACAAATGCATACATACAAGATGGCTCCGTTTTTCCCGAAAAGCTGTGTATCAGGATATCCTATTTGAGATTTTCACTCCAAACCTTTTACAAAATATATGTTTAATGGTAGTTCACATTTCAAAAATATTTTTATAGTTATACAGGGTGAGTCAAATATATATCATTTATTTATTCGAGTTTAGTGAATTTTGCTATAAAATTCTAGTTCCAAAAATAACCTTAATACCATAGAGTATACAATAAGTGGTTTTTGAATTATAACCACGTCCATGAGGACGTCAATCTGGACGTCCGGGAACCTTCTCATGAGAACTTCTAATCGAGACGATCGACTTATTGTAAGTTTATCGCTAAGAAACCGCCGTTTGCCAGCTATTCAAATTGATAATGAATTGCACTTAAGAATCGTACATATTAACTAACGGACTACAAGAAGAAGATTAAATGAAGCAAATCTTATGTCAATAAGGCCTGTTTCGGGACCAGAACTTACTAGATGTGTTGACTAGACCCAAAAGCAAAAGCATGGTCTTAATGTAAAAATTACGAAAAATGTTAGTGTCTTCTTTAAAACCGAATATTTCCAACAAAAATAACGCTAATGAGATGAACCAAAAAACAAACCATCGAGAAAGGATGTATCTAGATGATAAAATAAATTTTAAATTTCTTGCTGTTTTAACGTATTTCACAGGGTGTTTTAAACTTTCATCAGAAATATCAACATTTTGTTTTCCCTCGTATAATTAACAGATGGGGAGTTTCATTTTTAATTTAGAAAAAGATACTAAGAAGTCAAATAATTTGCCAACACACTGCTTAAAAAATCATCAAAATCGGCCCATTAAAATAAAATATATTAACCTTTAAAATACCTCAAAGTTTTATTTTAAGATCTCCATTTTTCGTGCCGGTGAATGTATTTCAAAAACTATACATTTTAAGTCATATAATTTTCTAATGAAACAAACCTTTATTTTTTTACTAGAATCCAAAAATCAATTAATATATAGGGTGTTCCATTACAAAAAACATAACTTTGATGTGTAACTTTTTTGGGGACACCCTGTAGAACTCTACATAATTTTAGAAAATACTTTAAATTGACTTACATAAGCTCAGAAAATTTCACTTCAATACAAACTTTTGTTCTCCTTGCAAAAACCGCGTCGCATATGACGCGCCACCCTGTATAATTCGATTTCAATCAAAATTTCAATGATTAGAATATAAGCAGAATAATATGCATTAGATTTATTTATTTCAATAAATTTACTTAGAAAAAGAATTAAAAAAATCAAAATATCAAGAAGGAAATAATTAAGAATTTACTAAAATTACTAAAATAAAAAATTAAAAGCAACGAAAAAAAATGGGTAAACATTTTAGTATTTTATCTATAAAACACAATACAGAACGTTTCTCATTAATACATTCACAGTAATTGGATTCCGAGGTAAAAGTCTCTGGGCACTTCACTATTACGTAAATCTGCGAGGGGGTGGTATACAATAGGATCTGCGATTAAAATTAGAACATCCGGCACTAACCTTCTAACCTTTAGATGTTGCCGTTCGCACCACACGGGAGATCAAAAATAACTGAGCAATTCGAAGGGAATAAATAGATATTTGGAACAGGTCTGTTGTATCGATTGTATGGTTGGCAATCGGATGGATATCATTTTGTTTTGTATCGGTGACCTGAAAAAACTATTTAAGGAAAGTGCAGTAAAAAACGATACACTCAGTACCTTCAACGATAAATATACCTACTAAAGTATAATATAAAACTACTAGCGTGTACCAGCGACTTCGTTCGTGTCGAATTAATCATTTGTAATGGTGATGATAAAGCAAAGCAAGAATTTCCATTAACATTCAAACTGGATAAAATTTTCTCACATTTATGTCAGCATGAGAAAAAACAATATGGCAATATTTTGAGGGGTATTTTCATCTCGTTGGAATTTGACTTTCGAAAAATCCCTTTGCCAAAAATAAGCTTTTTACGTCAAGCTTAAACTGCAGAGTCGTGGTTAAGAAATTACCCAACTTTTTGGAACACCCTGTATGATTTTTTTAAAAAATTCAAAATACGTAAATTTTTACCCCCCAATCCAAGAATCGTACTTCTTCAGGTAATGGTAAACTGCTGATGGACACATATGTCATCGAGTTCGAAAGGACCCACTCCAGGAAAGTTTTCTCGTTATAATTCGGTTTTAATATATTCTTTTAATGGCAATAATGTTATTTAATAATTAATTTTTACCCCCAATCCAAGAATCGTACTTCTTCAGCTAATGGTCAACTGCTGATGGACATATGCCATCAAGTTCGAAAGGACCCACTCCAGGAAAGCTTTCTCGTTATAATTCGGTTTTAACACATTCTTTTGGGGGTAATAATGTTATTTAATAATTAGTTTTTACCCCCCAATCCAAGGATCGTACTTCTTCGGCTAATGGTAAACTGCTGATGGACACATATGTCATCGAGTTCGAAAGGACCCACTCCAGAAAAGTTTTCTCGTTATAATTCGGTTTTAATATATTTTTTTGGTGATAATAATGTTATTTAATAATTAATTTTTACCCCTCAATCCAAGAATCGTACTTCTTCAGCTAATAGTAAACAGCTGATGGACACATGCCATCAAGTTCGAAAGGACCCACTCCAGGAAAGTTTTCTCGTTATAATTCGGTTTTAATATATTTTTTTGGTGATAATAATGTTATTTTATAATTAATTTTACCCCCCAATCCAAGAATCGTACTTCTTCAGCTAATGGTAAACTGCTGATGGACACATGCCATCGAGTTCGAAAGGACCCACTCCAGGAAAGTTTTCTCGTTATAATTCGATTTTAATAGATTATTTTGGGGGTAATAATGTTATTTAATAATTAGTTTTTACCCCCCAATCCAAGGATCGTACTTCTTCGGCTAATGGTAAACTGCTGATGGACACATATGTCATCGAGTTCGAAAGGACCCACTCCAGAAAAGTTTTCTCGTTATAATTCGGTTTTAATATATTTTTTTGGTGATAATAATGTTATTTAATAATTAATTTTTACCCCTCAATCCAAGAATCGTACTTCTTCAGCTAATAGTAAACAGCTGATGGACACATGCCATCGAGTTCGAAAGGACCCACTCCAGGAAAGTTTTCTCGTTATAATTTGGTTTTAATATATTTTTTTGGTGATAATAATGTTATTTTATAATTAATTTTACCCCCCAATCCAAGAATCGTACTTCTTCAGCTAATGGTAAACTGCTGATGGACACATGCCATCGAGTTCGAAAGGACCCACTCCAGGAAAGTTTTCTCGTTATAATTCGATTTTAATAGATTATTTTGGGGGTAATAATGTTATTTAATAATTAGTTTTACCCCCAATCCAAGGATCGTACTTCTTCGGCTAATGGTAAACTGCTGATGGACACATATGTCATCGAGTTCGAAAGGACCCACTCCAGAAAAGTTTTCTCGTTATAATTCGGTTTTAATATATTTTTTGGTGATAATAATGTTATTTAATAATTAATTTTACCCCTCAATCCAAGAATCGTACTTCTTCAGCTAATAGTAAACAGCTGATGGACACATGCCATCGAGTTCGAAAGGACCCACTCCAGGAAAGTTTTCTCGTTATAATTTGGTTTTAATATATTTTTTTGGTGATAATAATGTTATTTTATAATTAATTTTACCCCCCAATCCAAGAATCGTACTTCTTCAGCTAATGGTAAACTGCTGATGGACACATGCCATCGAGTTCGAAAGGACCCACTTCAGGAAAATTTTCTCGTTATAATTTGGTTTTAATATATTTTTTTGGTGATAATAATGTTATTTTATTAAAAAAGTAAAAAAAAAACAAATAAATTATGCTTGTCCAAGCGTTTTCCCGAAAGACTAACCGTTTTTTAAATAACAAGTATTGTAATATTTGAGGGACGTTTTCACCCTCTTGGAATTTGAGATTCGAGAAACCCCTCCTTATCGAACCTCTACACCCCACAGTCAATCCGTTTGCCAAAAATCAGCTTTAAACGTCAAGCAGTTTAAGCAGAATCGTGATTACTCAATTGTCATATTTTATGAAACACCCTGTATAAATTTATAAAAAATCTTAAAATATGTAAAACAACAAAATAAAATATACGTGTTTAAGAGTTTTTCCGAAAAACTCACCGGTTTTTAAATAAAAAATATTTTAATATTTGAGGGATAGTTTCACCCCCTTAGAATTCGAGTTTCGAAAAATTCCTTCTTATCGAACCTCTACACCCTAGAGTCGATCTGTTTTCCAAAAATCAGTTTTTTACGTCAAACGCTTTAAGCAGGATCGTGATTAATCAATGACCAGATTTTTCGAAACACCCTGTATACATTTTTGAAAAATCTTAAAATATGTAAAAAAACAAAATAAAATATACATGTTTAAGCGTTTTTTTGGAAACTTGACCGTTGTTTAAATAAAAAATATTGTAATATTTGAGGGGTGGTTTCACCCTCTTAGAATTGGAATTTCGGAAAATCCCTTTTTATCGAACCTCTACACCCTAG